AACACACACACACGCACACACACACACAGGCAAACACACACACACGCACACACACACACAGACATACACACACACGCACACACCCTTAGACACACACACATACACACACACACACACACACACATTGTTCTTCATATAAGAAGTCAATATAAGCTCTGTTAGCTCTGATTTGTTCTAATTTCCACCTTATAATTTGGTAGAATCGGTTTGATTTGGGATCTAAGTCACTATATTTGTTTCATTTCCAGCTGCTGTGGTTCTCTTTCTCACTTTACTGAGTCAACCTGTTCCCCTCCTGTCCTGTGGTGGCGCTGCACCAAAAACAACACAAAACATCTAAAGACAATGAGCACAAATTCATTCTTCACCAAATGGAAACAAAGATTGAGTAGAGTCAGATTTTAGCGGCTGGAGGATTTCTCTTTCATCTTTTACTAAAGACCACAAGTCGTTTCTCTTGCTAGCACTAAGCTAGTGGGTTTGTTTTGGTTGCATTTCCCAGAATGCCCTGCGCTATAGTCTGCTTCCTGCTCTGGTCCGCTTAGTGTTCACATGCATTTGAACCGCACCAGAGTTCGGTTCTCGGTTCAACTGAACTGAGAACTAAGTTTGTCCAGTTACGCATTCTCACCTCCCCTAATGAACTGGAGTTCAATTAAAGTGGACTAAACATGGCTGGTGTGAATCCATCCAATTATTCCCTCTGGTATTGGTTGCTATACAGCCCGAAAGACATATTCCCTTACTTTATTTTAAATTTTTTTTTTACGTTTGCACAGATGTAACCATGGCAACAAGGCATTGTTTTTACAATAGAGAGCTTAGCATTTGAGATTAGCATCTCAAAAGCTCAAATAATACCTGAACTTTGACCCCAAATGCTGCCCAAGTTTCTAAGAGATGTAAAGAGGAGCGCAATAGCACAGGAGCTGGATTAGCAACAATCTTCAGTCAGAGGCCTCCTCAGATGCATTGCAAGACTGACTGCTACTGGAGACCCTTCCTACCATGTCTCATTGATAGAATTACAATAATGTTTAATTTCCTTTAGGGATAACTAAAGTATTTTTGAATTTTAATTTTAGTTAATTTTAAGGCATGAATGTATTGAAATACTATCAGTGCCACACTTTATATTAAAATATCTTAAATAATCCCAAAAACGGTTTATATTTGGACCAAAATGCAGATCTTAAACTCCAAAAGATTTTATGACGTTACATGTCCGGGTGTGATTTAGAAACATCTCTGCTGCCATCTAGCGGATGGTTCGGTTACTCCCTGCAAACAGGCAGCCTCTGGAGCTCCGCGGTGATGGCGGCGGGACGAGGCGAGTTTTTTCAAAGCCTTTTGGAGGGTTTGCAACGGCAGCCTGCCCAACGGGTTCCGGAGACGGGACAACCGATCCGCGGCAGAGGCAAGCCGCGACCCGGGGGAAGGTTTCCCGGTCAGGGGAGAGGATTTTCGGGCCAAAGGAGGAAGGAGCGACAGAGGAAAGTTGCAACTCGAAGCTCGGGTGGCGAGACTGAAGCTAGGTGTTGTTTCTTTATGGTTCCTTAAATGTCTTTATTTATACTAATTTTGACAGATTTATTTTATTTGCGTTGTTTTTCAGTCCCCGTGCAGGGCCGACAAAAGAAGGCTCCCATAGAAAATCATCTCCATGCAAGCTAAACCTACTGGAAAGGTGAGACCACAATATCCGCTGTAGTTAAGCAAACTTCTCTCTGATTGGTCCTAATGTTGAGAACGAGCCCTGCCATTGGTTGGTTTGTGAAGTGAAGCCTGCTCTGATTTGCTGAGTTATTATTGGAGTCCAAGTACCGATGAAGCTTTTGGCGACTCTAATTAGCCTAAACAAGTTAAGAAAACCTCATTAAACTCCAAATTAAAAGGAAAAAACATTATCAGCAGGCTTTTCCTCCTGACAGTTCTTATTGTGTATGTTATCCATAGAATAATATGGCACTTCAGTGTTTAGTACATGAGATTTGTAAGGATATAATAAAAAATACAGGAGGGTTAGAACTAACTAAAAAAAATAATACTGTACTCACCTTAATCATTCTGAAATTAAAATCTGCATTTTGAGACTGAAATCAGAAGAAAAAAGTCAGAATTTTGAGATTAAAGTCAGAATCCTGAGATGAAAATCAAAACTCTTAGATAAGGCAGAATTTTCAGATTTAAATAAGTCATTTTTGTTTCAGTGGCCCTAATCCTCTTCTGTAGAAATGGCTAATGGTTGCTAATGCGGGATGGTGATGTAGCACATGAAGGCTAGTAGCTTCCAACAAAAATGTAAAGTTAAAAGAATAGATCAAGTGATTAAAACATTTTACACAGAGCATGGAGTTGGCCCTAAACTTATATTTCTGAGAAAAAGTTGCCATTTTCTCCAGTCTTCCCTCAGAGATCCTGGTGAAGATCCTGTCCTACCTGGACCCGTCCTCATTGTTCTGCCTCAGCCACGTGAGCAGACTCCTCCATCAGCTCTCCAATGACGAGTGAGTCCAAGCAGCTCTTCAGCCACTGCAGGTTCATGACCAAACGGAGTCTGGAAGTCCCTCTCCCTCTGGATTTTTATCACTGCAGCGTCTTGTGGCAGAGGATTTACACGTCAGAGTTCGGCAGCCGGAACTGGAGGCTGAAGACATCGGAGAAGTGGATGGAGGCGGAGGATTGTTGGACGAGCCGCTGGAAGAGGCTGTACTTTAAATCGATGGCTGGGCAGGAGATGAACAAGTGGAGGAAACCCCTGAAAGACGTCAGTCCGTACACCGGCCTGCCGCGGCAGACGGAGTGGGCCCTCAGGTCAGAGAGGGTGGTTGGGAAAAGTCAGGACTTCTTAGGATTTAGGTTGAACATATTTATGCCACACTTTTCAGATATTGTAAAAGTAAACAGCCAGGTGTAATTTTTCTTGCACTGCTTTGTTCTGGTTTGTCTTATATGACACAATGCAATGTATCTTGCAGAGTCAGCATTGTGAGTTTAGACAAACATGTTTATGATTTCCATGTTTGCTGAGAAGAACTAAATGAGAAAAGTTGTTTCCGTTTAAATGTTGTATTTATTCCAGCTGTGTGTCCCTCAGGAGCCTGAATGTGAGCTGGGAGCTGACGCTGTGTGAGCGTTTGGGTCAGGAGCACACGCTGGAGCAGAGCCAGGCACACTTCTTTGAGTCGTCTGTGATTGTTCACTGGAGCGATGGAATCCACATGAAGTTTCATCACATCAGCACCATTCAGCTGCACGGCGTCAGGAAGGATCCTCGGAGCAGCATCCAAACCAGGAAGTAAGACCCAGTGCTCTCCTGCTGTGGGAGCAGGAGAGCACTGGGATGGGAGAGATGGGAGAGATGGGAGTGTCCCGTCGGCTCCCAAAACGACCAAAGAGGATAAAAACCTTGTCAAAGCTCACACTGGGTCAGCTAAAAAGCTAGCCTGTCTCCACTGGGCCGTCCTGAGGTCTGAGGGAGGATTAAAACCAGAATGGCTGCCAGCAGTCATTTTGACTGCAGCATTCAAACTTCACTTAATTCACCTTTCAAGGTTACAACAAAGATAATGTTTAATTTAACCAGCTTAAAGTGTTTTTAAACACAAAATAATCATCATCAAACTATTACAACAAACATAGAAGAGCAAATTTTGTCAATTTATCTGAGAAATCTAATAAATATGTATCACAATAAATCAATAATTTATTGTGATACTTACTGTGTCACATAAGCAAATTTAAAACACCAATTTCTATATTGCATAAAAATATATGAGATAAATGATGAGCATAACACAAAGTAACAGGAACCATGAAAGCAAGAAAATATTATTCTACCTATTTACTTGCAGCTTTGACACGTTTTAGTCCTTATTTTATTTGGTCAAAGTGAAATAAGGCGTCTGCTGCAGCTTTCAGGGGTTTTCATTTTTATTGCCGTCTCTGCAAATTTTACTGGACGATAAATTTTCCCAGAAGTTTCTGCGGTAAATGATAATATTGTTGTTTTGAGATTTTCAATTAATATAACGGTAATGGCATAATAACTTTAAATTCTAATGTAATTTAAGGCTGGAACAAAACAATAGAAACAAATAAAATGAATTATGAACTCGCTGTAAAAAATGTCCTTCAAAAAAAAAGCAGATCAAATCATCAGACTAAAGAGAAAAGAGACATATGATGACTTATACAAATGGAAATTATTGAGTTTGTTTTAATTTATCGTATGATTAATTAATCTATTGATTATTCCTGCAAGTTCCAGTTTATTCAACCCAACAGCAGACATCTTTAATGAAAATTCACACAGTTTTAGGAAAAGTCAGGAACCAGCTTTAACTATTCCACCAAATATAACTACAAACATAAACACACAAATTGCCGTGGCAGTCAAAATGACCGTTCTAGTATTAAAGTGGATTTTTGGTCTATATTTGTTCAGTCGGTACCATTTGTACGTACAGGACTTTTTCCTCAAAGTCTCATGTTTGAAAAGCCGAACTTTTCCTCCTCTTCCTCCTCCAGACCCAATTGGCGCTCCCTGATCTTAAAGCTGGACGCAGGAAGTCCATCTCTTGTCATCGGCAAAGACAGACTGATCAAGGTGTTGCTTCTGCAGCCGGGGGTCATCGTTGGAGTCTGGAGGGTAAACGGGGAACGGATGGGCCCCATCAGGGCTGAGCCTGGATGCTTCAGGTTCTTAACGTCTGAATGTTTGTAGGGAAAGAACCAGGTGGCCTTCATCATGATCAGCCTTCACTTCCACAAGCTGGTGGAGAAAAGTCTGCTGGGCTCTCCAGCCTGGTGCGTCAATCTGCTTTATCAACTGAGACATGATTTTGATCAGAATGAAGTAAGAGCTCCATCTGCTGGACGCAGCGCGTCACTGCTGCCGATTTCTTTCAATCAGCCGCTGATTGGTGCGAATTAGTCTTTATTTCTGCACAGCTGAAAAAAACCTGAAATTTAATAATTTTAATTTTAGGCACTAAAATATAAATGTCTTAAATTTCTTCATAATCATTTGTTTCTTCTTATAGCATTGATTTATTGAAACTGCACCAATTAATCACCCAGAGATGCAATCGACTGATTTGTCCTCTATCAGCTCTTATTTTCAAAACATGAAAAGATATTAAAATGAAGACCTTCCAGCATGTGCAGCCTATAAATACGTCAAACAACAGCAGCTCTTTTGATGCCATTTTTACATGTTAATTAAATGTGATGAAGCTTTGGGACAAAGCGATCTGTATACATTTATAGTTTTATTTCCTGTAATGTTTAAAACTTCTCTTTGTTTAAAAACCTGCAGAAATGTTTTTCTTTTATTTGTTGTTTTCCTTAGAAAACAACAAATTTTCTAAGGAAAATTTTTTTCCTTAGATATTTTCCTTAGATATTTAAATACAAAACTAGATATTTGTATTTGTTTATTCAGATATTTAGGACATTTTGGTGTGAAAACAGAGACTTTAGCTGATTCTATCAATGAACTTTTATAACGAGAACTAAACGTTAAAGTTTGGTAACTTTGGTCTTAAGTCTAAAGGGACAATCTCAACTACATCATATTTAGAATTTTTTAGTAAGTAAAAGGTATTGTATTAAAAATCAGAGCGCTCTTTTTGTCCCTTCTTGCAGCCCGTACTCTGAGCCTGTGGAGCTTCCTCCTGTGGACGACGCGGACCCCGACCTCGGTCTCCACGGCTACAGTTTGCACTTCGTTCTGCACAACACCGGCACCGAGATCATGTCGGGACACTTCCAGCAGCTGTTCTGCCACAAAGGTGATCAAAATGCAAAACCTGAAAGATTTTTATGATTTTCCGTTCCATAGTTTATTAACCGAAATGTCAACAAAATCCAGGATGAATATTTTAGATCAGGAAAGTACAAACGTTTTGCCAATTTGGTCAAAATTGTAGACTCTGAAATGGTCACAGGCTGAAAAAACAACCTAAAATCAAGCAAATAAAGTAGCCATATATTTATTGTACATCAAAAACTTGAAAGCAGTTTTTACGACGATGTATCAGGTCCATTGTAGAAAGAAAAAATAATTACGTTTCTACAAAAAACTCAGAAATTTTGTGATTAATCTCTGAAAAAACTGAATTTACAAATTTTGTGAAATTTTTGATATTAATCTAAAAATTAGACTTTTCTTTCCTAGCAAATTTCTGAGATTTCCTACAAAAATGTGTTACTGCTACTTTAATTTAGCATGTTTTCAGTTTCTTTTGGGCCCGATCGAATACATTTATTTTCAGTAACAGTGTAAGGATTTGGGTTGCTTTCTCTCACAACATTATCAATATTTAGCCTAGTTTAAGACAGAATGAAACTGGTCTGGGTGCAGCGAAGTCGCCTTTTCAGAAAAAGTCTCTTGATTTTACCTTTTAATAAAACTTAGTTATAGAAAGACAAATACTTTGTGTTGCACGTTACATTTTCCTGTGTAAAAAAATCATGTTGCTAACAATTTTTGGCCTGATTACTAATTAAAAGTCTCCATCTGGATCTACTGGTCACATTTGTATAATTTTTTAATTGCAGTTGGGGGCCGCATAAAATCAGTCCAAGGGCCACAAATGGACCCCGCTCCTCACTTTTGACACCCTGTCTTAGATGTTTGGTAAATGTTTGTAGGTTTAAAAACGTCCTAAATGATGTTTTCTTCATCCTGCTTGTCTTGGTTCTGGTTGGCGGAGGTCAGCTCAGATTCAGCGCGGCCTGGTGGAGCTCAAGGTCATCCAGAGGTCAGACCTTTCTCAGCACAGATCGCTATCTGGCAGCATCAGACTTCCCTGGAGACATGAGGACATGAAAGGAGCAGTGGAGGTAAAAACAAAACTGTTTTTTAAGCAGGTACTCTGCCACCACAGGGTGGCAGTAACGTGCCATTTTTCAAACTTTTTGGGTTTTATTTAATTTAAAATTAAAATACAATTTTAAGTCATTTAGCATGATTTCTGTCACAACTCTGTGTTGCTACAAATATCTGCTTATTGGTAGAAGTATTCACATCTCGACCTTCATTACAGTCTCAGTTTGTTACGATGTTTCCCTCCTTTGCAGCTCTGGCAGCTTAAACATTCTAGGAAGGTTTAGGAGTGTTTATGGTCAAGAAGTTCATTTGTGAGGTCAGACACTGATGTTGGACGAGTAGGTATCGCTCAGTCTCAACCCCCTGTGAGGTCACTTCCTCATCATCCATGTCGTTATAAAACCTGATTAGAGTCAATTTCCACCAACATCCTTCAAATCTAACCAGAACGGTGTTGATGGTTTCTGCAAACTTTTAACTCAGGAATTTGTCTTGATTTGTGAAGCATTAACAGTTCCTGGATTTTATGAGCCTGTGAGTGTTAGTGAATATTTTTGACACTGTTGCAGAACTTTTGTTTTTGAACGATATTAATATCATGCCGAGGCACGCAGACCTCGATCTGCTGGTGACAAGGCAGTGAACAGCGCTGCGCCCCACGCCGACTAACTGCATCTTAATACCTACAATAAAATTATTTATGTTGGGCTGTCGACTGGCTGAAAGAAAATATTTGCTTAAGTCAAAGCAACTCAGGTCTATTTTCCTTTTTTATGCATTTAAATTATAAATAGCCCTAAAACTTTATTAGTGCACCAACACTTGTAGTAAAGAAACAATAATGTGTTTTCCATCGTTGGTACTCTCATAATCTGTGAATAAGTCAAAATGCCTCCAGTAGTCGTAGTTTATGGTCTTATTGTGTCCAGTCACATTAAGAGGAACAAAGACTATGAGTTAAAAGACTAATATTTTCATTTCAGGTTGTGTTTATTAAGATGTTGTGTTATTGTGGGGCCAATTTCAGGTCTAGTGAGTGAGTGGGGTAAGTAGCTCTGAAGACGTTTGAGAAACGCTGCTGCAGTGGAAGCTTCTGTTTGAAGAGTCCAGTTCTGATGATGCGTCTCTGCTGCGTTTTGCGTAGAACTGCTGCATCATGAGCCTGACTCTGCTGGATGAGTTCCAGAAACCGTTCTGGTGCGTCAGCACGCCCATCCACATCACCATGGCCAAGAAGGCCTGGTGCTGCGACTACAGCGGCCACGACTTCCAGATGCTGTACAGGACAGCGGACGGCGAGGTGAAGATGCTGCTGGTGTGGCTGGAGGAGCAGAAGCAGTTCTTCCTCACCGGCCTCACCGTCTGCATTCCCGTTGCCAAAGTCAACAAGCGATTCAGCAGGGAGTACTGAAACTGGACATCGGGGCGTTTCACGCAGAGTTGTTGGTTTCCATCTGCAGGTTTAGTTTCTGTTATTATTGCTAGCAAAGATGGACTTGTTTAAAAGCTCGCTTCTGAATTTGATGTGGATTTTTCCAAAGGTTTAAGATTAATTGATTTTTAGTTTAGAGAAAAACATATTTTTTTACTTTTTGATGCCAAAGAGATCCAACATGAAGGTTCCTGTTGGAAATGTGCGTGATTAATTTGTATTAACTATTAAATATTAATTTAAATAAACTGTTCAAGTCACCTAAAACACACTTGGTGAAAAGTTTTTATTACGATGGTCAGAAAATCCTGCGTTCATTTTTCTGAACGTTTTTCATAAAATCCTAAGATGGAAATGGCATGTTGCAAACATTTAGAAAGTAAAGTGTTTACAACATTGTGGCAGAAAGTGAAAGTCGTTGAGGAAACGCTGGTATGAGTGGTTCTTCAGTCATTCACTGACTGATTTCTGGGATCGATTATTTCTGCTTTAATTCATCCAGAATGCTCCAAACCTCAAGAAACAGGTTTATGTTCAAAAACATCAGGAAAGGAAAGTGGTAAGCTGTACTAAATTAATTCATGTGTCTTTGATTTTTGCAGTAATGGTTTTCTCATCAGCAGTTCCCCAGGATGACCTCTAGGTGTCGCCAAAGGGGTTAGCAAGCCTCCCTTTGAGTTGCTAGAACTGCACACGGTTAATTTATTCTTGATTTATATGAACTTTTGCATGAAAAAAGGTGAAGGCCAGAGCTACTCTCTAACCTACATGGACCTAAAATACAAAAAAAAAATCGCTCATCTATTAGCACTGAAGCAAAGCTTTGCTTCTTAAAAATGGTTTTATTAACATATAGAGACTGGGTTTCATCAAATCTGTCATACTTGCCTGTAAACTTGGAAATAAATTTTTTTTAGAAAAAAAACACAAACAAAGTTCCTGCTTTCTAAAAATTGCATTTTATTTTGATTTATCAAAAAGTCTTGGTCACCATTTCAAACTTTGAGAAATTTAACTGCAGCAGTAGTTGGAGCACCAAATAAGCCAGTGCAATGATTTACTCGTCTGTAAACATGACGTTGAGTCACAAACCGGAGCACATCACAAAGCTACAAACACAGCAACTACAGGAAAACAAAACAAAACTCATGTAAGACCAGGACTGAGAGAAAAACGGAAACGATGTACACAATCTGTGAAATTTAGGACAGTATGAACTGGTGCTCTCTTCAAAATAAAACATACATGGTGCAAGAATACAGATCCATTTCAATACATTAAAACATCATTGAAAAATGTATTTCAGTATAGAGTCATTATATATATATTTTACATTTTCTTTTCTGTAACTTCAGATGAAACCAAAAGTTTTATTGGATAAAAACAAACTAGTAAAAACCGAAACAAGAACTTGAACATATTCATGGGAAGTTGAGTGGAAGAAAAACATGCACAAACAGCAGGGATTACTGCAGCCCTTGTTGGGAAGTAAAGATTCACAAGACATATCCAGGCTACAACAGTCGCATTCCTTGTATCGACCCGCTTCACCGAGCACAGCGTCGTCCTGCCTGGGCCAGAGAGAAAAAGGACCAGACGCTTCCCCAGTGGTTTAACGGCCAAATTTAAGATAAAACCTTGAATTTCATTTTGAAATGAAGGTCCCAGAATCTGTTGGAATCTGGTCGTTTGAGGTCCAGTGTGATGTTTCCGCAGTTAGGGAGGATTTTAAGAGTCTCATTGATGGAGTTGGACACAGTCGTCTACCAGGACATTTTGGATCACTTATTCTTTCTTCTACTGACGTTATTTTTAGAGATGTTGAGTTCATTCTCCAACAGGACATGGAACCCACACCAACCCACTCAGCCAAAGGTACCAGAAGCTGGTCTAATCACCAGGTGGACCTGTGCTTGATTGTCTGACCGATATCAAAGCAACTTGGACTTCAGGGCAAATGCTGTACTGTAACGAGCGTGGACATAGTTTCAACTCGTCCACATTTTTGTATTAAAGTCCATTTCCACCTGTTAGATGTAATGTACTTTTCTGACAAACTGAATTTCGGGAAGTAGGTTAACCAGGGTTGGTGTTAATGTACCCTCAGTCTACCTCAGATCTGAGACTGTTTGGTCATTGTTGATTATCCTGTGTGTCTCTGAGATGGACTGGTGATGTTCCCAGGATTCCTTCCTCCTACCACATGTCGGTGTGCCCCTGGGCAAGGCACTTAGCCTACTTATCTGCGTATCGGTGTATAAATGTGTGAGCATTTGTGAGTGCGAATGGGTGAATGTGACTCTAGTGTAAAGCGCTTTGAGTGGTCAAAATGAAAAGCGCTATACAAGTTCAGTCCATTTACCATTTACCATAATCAGAGGAGCAGAGTTTGTACCTCCAATATTAGTGCAGGGACTAAAGAAAGGCACAAGTCTCTCAGCAAAGCAGCAACCAGTAAAGGAGTAGAGAAGATCAGCAGTATCTACGTTATAAAAGGAGACCAGACCTCCATCATAATCAGCAAATACTCCCACCCTCTCTGGATTTAATCTTCGAGTTAAACGGACTATTGGTTTATCAAATGCCTCGTATTCTTCCCCGTTCCTTAGACAAATTGTCCAGAAACCACTTTCTGGTTGCAGTGTGTGTTCTCCCTTCCTTTCAATCGACTCAGTGACGACTCCTACAGTCCAGTCGGTCTTCCCTTTAACCTGGACCTCGAAGTAGAATCTTTGATGGAAGAAACTTTGTTTTCCTAAAACACTGACATGGTCACTGAATCTCTTTGGGTTGTCTGGAACATCTTTCCTCACATCTACATGATGGACCCGTTTCCCATGGTCAGATAAAACTAGTTCAGGATGTGCTGTATCTGGATCCAGAGTCACCTCAACTGCAAACTCCTTGATGCTCCTCAGTGTTGCTTTGTTTATCTTGTCAACTACAGGAGTGATAATCATCGGCGCAGAGTTTCTACCATTGCAGTTACTACTTGTATTAATATATAACAGGAGTTTCTTTTTGAAGCAGCATTTTTTGTATGAATAGATCAGATCTACTGTATCTACATTATAGAAAGAGACAAGACCCTTGTCATAATCCACAAAGATTCCCACCTTCTGAAGACGGGACTTCAGAGGGAGTATGACTGCAGGCTTTGCCAAAGCTTCATAAACCTTGTCTTTTAACCATATGGTCCAGAAGCCGTTGTCGGTGCTGAGGAAGATTTTCCCTTTCCGGTTGATGGACTCGTAGGCCACCCCAACAGACCAACTAGTCTTCCCTTCAACCTGAACCTCAATGTAGAACTTTCCTGAGGAAAATGTCTCCTTACTAACTACACTGGCACATGTGTCAAATCTCTGGGAGGTCATTGGGAGATCTTTGGTCACATTAGTGTCGTAAACTTGTTTCCCATCACTGGAGAGGACAAGATCGTGATGCGCCGTATCTGGATCCAAGGCTATGTCCACTGCAAACTCACGGAGTTTTTCCAACTCAGCTTCCTTTTCTCCAATACCTTCTGTCACAAAACGTAGATGTCGAGGGTTGAAATCTGAAACAAAAGCAAGACATCCATGTTTAAGTACATTGGGCTATACCTTAAAGTAGCTCTTCCTTTTGGACAAACAAGGCTAGTTTTTACATATCAGAATTAGTGCTGAAATATATTTTATTTAATTTTACCAATGACTCTTAAGACCTTTTGTCATGGAAGTGGGGCTATGCAACAGCTACCCAAAGGACACCCAACTGACCAGGAGAGGACTTTGGGAACTAACGTCGAACAAAATGGCTGAAACCTAAACGACAAAGACTAACCATCATTCTTTACTGAAAATGTTGTAGCGAGACCTCATCGAACAAGATAAAATGCCACAATATTTTTTGTTGAGGTGACTGCTATCTCATGAGCATTAGCCAGTTGCCATTGTTGTGACTTAACCCTCGGTCTTAGTGTGACGCTCAGGAGGATCGCGCCAGATGTCGCGGTCGGACAGTGGGAAAGCTGATCTCAAAACCTCACATAAACCCGGCACATGCTGGGTTAGTGTGACCCTGCCGGACCGCGCAGAGGGTGAAAAGTCAAATTGATGCCCAACTGTTAATAAGATGCCTTAAGTAGCCTTAAATCATCTGTTTGGCAGCACTTTGGGTTTCCACTAGGAATGATAAATGGCAACAAAGTGATAAAGACGAATAATATCTGAGGACTTCAAGTTGTTGAGAGGGTGATGGAGGCAGAAAGCTTTGGTAAAACAACTGATAGTTGGTGTCTAGGGGTTGATTGAGCTACTTCACAATCGCATGCTATCAATAGCACCTAGGAAATGGTAAATGTGCTGAAGACCATGTCTTAAGGTCTGAAGAGATGAATGAAATCATACAAGAGTTAGAGGTGAAAATAAAAAGGCCCTTTTTTTAATACACATGGTTCCACATTCCTACTGTCAGAATTATTTCATTTTCCCTTACCTTGTTCTTCACAGAATCTGTTTAACTGATCCACCAGGTTGTTCTGGCCGATCGCCTGTAAAATATTGATTGCCAGCTGCTTAGCTCCAGGGCCTTTGTATCGGCGTAGCATCAGATCAACCGTATCCCATCTTTCTGCCCCCTCCAGCTCATCTTCTTTGATGCCGTTTTGACCCTTCAAGATGTTGTCCTGTTTCAAAAACCATTTAAATTGTTCAAAGTCATCCTGCTTCAAGTTCTTGAGAGTATTTAGGAGCTCTACAGAAAGATTTTCCATGCTGTCACTTTTGGGGAACATCTGGAAATATGGAGACAGAAAAATATTTAGTTAAAATAAATGTCTTTAAATGAAATCCAACAAATTTACTCCAAACAAGATTGTTCTTACTTCCTGTGCTTCCATGTTATGTACAAGGGCTAAATACACAACTCATAGTTAAATTATCTAATTCTCATCACAGAACACCAAACTTTCAGAAAATGTGGGAAAGTTTCCATTTTGCTTTGTTGATTGAATTCATGTCTCCAAATCATTGCAACTGACTGATATATTTCTTTCACTTTGTTTTACTGCCTGACTTGCCTTCATGGAAATATTAGTTTAAAAACTCTTTATTCTGTAAATGTTTCTGGTCATATAATCATCCCTGCCTTGTTTTAGGTGTTTCCTGTCTCAGCGACAGAACTAATGGCTTTGGATTTAAACAAAAATCTGTTTTTAATCATGTAAAACTGTGTTTTTAAAGAGTCTGGACCATTTCTGTTGTTTTTATGGAGACGTTTATCAAACAAAAAGCAAACCTCGTTCTTTGCTTTGCTAAACATGTTAGTTTCTGTTCTTGTGCCAAGTATTTCTGTATTTTCTGCTGTTAAATCAGGCCTAAAAGTAAAACTCACCCATCGCAGTCCAATCCAGCTGTTTAAATACAGCTAAATGTTTCTGTCTGCTAACAGTACAACGGTTTCAGTCCTGTTTCAGTCTGACTTCCTGTTGACGTTACCGCCTCTTATCAGCTCCTGTCCTTGCAGAGGAGGAGCATGCTCTTCAAACTGAAAGCAGCTTCGGCAAACGTGCAGACAGTGAAACACCCATCATCATATCTGCTCCTGTTGGAGCTTTAAAGGGATCTAATATGCTTTCTTTTTAACAGGTTAGGATCTCTAGCCTGTTGAAGACAATATATCCTTTCTCTAACAGGATATTTCTGTCAAAAAGATGTATTTGTTAAAGGATAGCTCTTTACACTTATGGCATGTTTACCGCTGCCATTTTCATGTTGATCTGAAGGGATCACTGGCGAGTGTAGAACAGTGTCAATACTTTGTTTTTTTTTATTCGAATAACAGTCTAAAAGCAGTTGAAATCAAAAGAAATGACAAAAAAAATGAAAATCTGGAACGGCTCAAACGTCTGTGAAACTGTGAATTCATAAAAGTATAAACACTGTTAACTCACCACAGTACGTTTCTTCATCCGTCCAGAAAGCTGCATAGTTCAGTCTTGTTGAGAACGATTCAGTTTCCGTACTCTTGTTTCTTTCTTGCTTTACAAGTACTTTATTTTTAATCCACAGAACTGAAAAGAAATCAAACTGCCACATTTTCAAAAATGCATTATTGTTTTTACACACACAGAACTCACTTGCAGTTAATTAAGCAGGCCTGCAGGTTTTCGGAGTGCCGCGTGTTAATTATACACATTTAGCCTAAATGTGTATAATTCTGGAATAGCAGCCTGGGACGAAACATCTGTCCAAGAGCTGTAGATTGAATCCATCACATGAACTTTGACCCCTATTGAACTTTATGACTACTCTTTACAATTTCAATCTGACTAACACAAGCAGTTTTATTGAGGATATTACTACATACTGTAGATGTATTTTATCACTTTGATTTTATTTAAACATTTACACTGTGAACCTTATTTAACTTGTTAAATTACAATAATCAGTAAAAAGTTTGTCAAAATGGTAAATAAAAAAAAAATCCACAAAGCAAATCTGCTTCTTGGTAACTAATGCTATGGATGTGTGATGCACCGTAAAGTGGGAGAATTTAATCATCACTTGTTGATAGTCCAGAATAAGAATATAAGCCACCACATAGTATTGCAATTTATTATATATGTGGTTTTTTACAATTAAATTGACCAAAATACCCTGTTAAATAAAAAAAGAAAAAAAAGCAACCAAGGTTTGGACGACGTCTCAGCAGGAGACCGGAAGTGAGGAGCCCCGCCCCTTCCGCTTCAGAGTTTGGCGAAGAAGACGGCGGTCGTCCTTTTTGCTTCCTCCGACGCTGTTCATCGTTACAGGTTAGTGATGTGAAACTGGTGAGGGCTGAAACGTGGTGTAACAAGTTAATTTGGATCTGATTTCGTAATTTCAGATCCACAATTACGATCTGAAAATTACGAGCACATATTTTTGAATGTCTCAAACATTAAAAAATAAAAGAGAAAAGAGTGATTT